TAGTATATATATAATATATATATATATATATATATATATATATATATATATATATATATATATACACGCCTGCCCAAATCAAACTGACAGCATGTCGATGAATTGTGAATAGATGATACATTGGCTTGGCAACAGTCTGCTTTATATCACTGGGCATAAACAGACAATATGTTGGTCTGGCAACAGTCTGCTTTATATCACTGGGCATAAACAGACAATATGTTGGTCTGGCAACAGTCTGCTTTATATCACTGGGCATAAACAGACAATATGTTGATCTGGCAACAGTCTGCTTTATATCACTGGGCATAAACAGACAATATGTTGGCCTGGCAACAGTCTGCTTCATGTTATATCACTGGGCATAAACAGACAATATGTTGGCCTGGCAATAGTCTGCTTCAAGTTATATCACTGGGCATAAACAGGCAATATAATGGCTGCAGATGGCTTGAATGGGTAACGAAGAATGATGATGATAAAACCTTGTCGAAACATTGTACATTTGCTGTTATGTTAAACTTATATTAAAGTTTTTCTTCATTACCCATTCAAGCCGTCTCCAGCCATTATTAGTCTCAAAGTGGGTTCCTCGTCACCGAATTTGAAACAGACAAAATGTTGGTCATATCACAGTTTAATTTACTTTAAAACCAATGAGAATACAACATCTCTCCTTACTTTCATTGGTACATATGTAAGCTCGTACTTCATTTTTAACATTTGGTTGTTAACAATTTTCTTGTCATTTATCAATATCTTATTAATCCACATGTATGGGTGGGTATTCAATTAAAGTATTGTGTTAGAACTACATCGTATCTCACCTTGTCACGGGTTTTATGCAATGTCTCAGGTTACTAGGTAAAGTGATAACTTGATATCAATCACTAAAATTTGTTAGCATTGTTCCAATGATAAAGTCACATGGTGCAAAAGTTCAATGTACAGGTAAGATTATTAATTGTTTTTCATTAATTATTTAATACATAATTGAAATTTTTGACAGTGGAATCCAATGGTGTGTAAATTTATTTTCACTATTTGAAAATCAACGAAACCCCCTACTACAAGTGAATGTAGTCTGTAGCAAACGTTACTATTACATGGACTGGACTCACATTATATTTACTATATAATCCAAAACAACCTGCCCAACGATAGTACGCGTTACAACATGATTCCCTAAAAAATAAAGGGAGGGTTTAATTTTTACTTTTAATTTCCTTGGAAAGTGGGTAAGCAGAAACAGATTTCATGGACCAGATACTTTCTTGTTTGCATGTTACGTATTCACTGATTGCTCTGATAGCATTTTCAGCTGATAATGGAATGGCTAATTTTTTGCATGTATTGCCATCCTTCTCCCAGTATTTTATGTGTATTTTTCTGGTAGCTATTATGAATCAATTGTAATACCAAACACATATTCTTATATTCCTCCGTGTGTTGCCAGTATTTTATTTTTATAATAAAGCATTCACGAATATTGCAAGTAAATCTTTATGGAGGGAAACATTTACCACTCACAGTCATAAACCTATGTTTTTTGTCACATTTAGTGTAAACGCATTTTATATTTTACTTCTTACATTCACTGGAGCAAATCAATTTCGTCAAAGTATATAACAACTTATAAGCAGTAACTTGCTTTGGTTATACAATTATAAAGTTAAATATGTCAGTAGCATTAGGCCTGTCGCTGTCACCTTAGGTTAAGCGCCTTCTTCAATGTGTGGGTTGGACGAGAAGACTCGTCTTCAAAGAGTTCACTGCTGTCTTCATCTTGTATTGAAGTAACTTCGCCGCATTCTATACTTTGTAAATTTGTCATGCTGTAATATATTAAACAAACGAACACGCAAAAAGTTAGTGAAATTTTCAACCTAACTATTGTTAGTGTTATAATATAACACTAGCTCACACACATTACTTTCATAACAAGTGCGGTAACAGCACCGTCTACAGAATAATATAAATATAATTTATCCATTCTGATAATTTAGAATTACAGTATCAATAGATGTGTATTTTATGTCATAAAAGCAAAATTAAAATAAACTGAACTACGAACAGGTTTTATCAAACCAATTTTGAAGTATAAATATTACCTTAAGATCGTTAATTATGTATAATTAATTGAACAATTTGCCGCAATAGGCAGAAAAAGAAAACCTCCTCGATAACTTATTACTAAAAAAAAAAAAAAAATAGTCTTCCAGTGTTCGTCAAGACAAATGCAAATTTACTGTGGGGTTATTTTGTTAGAGATTGTCACTTTTTCCATTTCAGGATGATACCAGTCCATCGAGCAAAATTAAAATATGGAAAACAAAGTATGTTGGCACTTAAAGGAAAGTAAAGAAACTTTAAACATGCGAAATTGGTTAAATGGATTACATGCTCAAGAAAAGCAACAAGAGCTGGTTTTCTATTCTAAGTTAAAAATCTAATATGACTACTAAATTCATAACTGTTGGGCAGCTGTATATGGAACATTTGAGTTTTACATTTAAGCCTTTGATTCATCTTTCATAAAGAAGAACATGAATACGTTGTTTTTACTCTTTTTTTAAATTTAAATAAACACTGACAATTTTCGTCAAGAAATGTCTGTGAATAAACTACTTGAAAATAAAGTGAGATTGATGAAAATTCTTTCTTTTTTTTCAAGCCTATAGAAAAACAAAGTTATATATATATTGTTATAAATAATTTCTGATTTTTATTACATAGCACATACAAGTAGATTTTATCAAATGCACGCTCATGTGATCACTTCAGTTGAGACAAGGTCAAATTGTATGAGAAACTTTTAAAACTGACCTAGCATTCTGGGAGTATGTGCACTACAAGGGAATGTACAACGATACAACTTATGTCCATTATTAAGTGCTAAACTTATAACCGCACTGCTGGGGATGATTTCATGGCGTAGATCTAAAAAAAAATATGCCTGAATACCTAGTCGTTGTTTGTTGAATTTCGTGCGAGGTTAATCGAGGGCTATCTGGAACAGCCGTCCCTATTTTAGAAGTGATAGATTAGAGGGAAGTCAACACCATTTGCTGCCAACTCTTGGGCTATTCTAATCGAATTGGAATCTCGAAATAAGAAAATAATAAACTGCCGCATAAGAGAACGTCTATCTAGTTAGCTACTAATACGTTCCACACGGGCCTGTAGGTGTGCCCTTTTCTCCTTTTGTACATTGATGAGACACTGTCTGTGTTTTCACATACTAATTCTAAGAACTTGTGAGTGAAATTAAAGAAGAATGTATAACAAGATGTCAACCATATTATATCTGGTGCTGACGAGGCCTTTCATTTATCATTGCTGACACTCATGTGTGAACACAGTATGAACTTAAAACGTTAGCTTACTACTGTACCCACTGCAAAAGTGATTCTAGATGCGAAGAACAGCTTTTAAAATTTTAGTTTTATCCTTTTTTTGTTGTTTGTTACTAAGCACAGAGCTACACAAAAGGCTATCTGTACTCTGCCCACCCGGGTATCGAAATCCGGTTTCTACCGGTGTAAGTCCATAGACATACCGCTGTGCCACTAGGGGGCTAGTTTCATTTTATCACTTAACTCGTACAAATGAAGTGTTGAGCAGTGGCTCCATCTGGTAGAAAATTATCGCTTGTTTGAATTTATTCCCAAAGAATTTTTAACTCTAAATAACTGTCAACCGTCGATCAACAAATCGTTTTTAACAGTACAACAGGTCTTATCAGTCTAGCTAAGACGACAACATGAAATGATACACACAGTCAATCTAGAGTTCTTGAGAGAGGGATTAACCCGACATCCTAATAGTTAATCCAGTTTTTGTCTATTCAAATTTATATTTCACATGCACCAGTAAATTATGAATTTTAGAAATAGAAACAGCCAGTTATCTGCGGAAAATCTTTAACAGATATATGAAGTTCGATAGTTACATTTGTGATCACCGCTAAACTACGCTCCTATTTTAACGCGAATTTGTGTGCGCGCTATATATATTCCTGTTCACATATTGCTGTAATTCTGTGCGTAAAACTTATAGTTTTAGATCTGTGCAGTTTACAAAAAAAAAAAAACTGAGTCAAGTATTTATAGCATGCTGTACTAGAGCCTGGTAAAAGGCGTTTTTTGTAGGAATTTTACCGACATCTGGTTTATATGATAACTAATTTGTAACACGAGCACTTTAGCTATAAGTGTAGTCAGCACTGCCTGTCCGGTACGTGGATAATTTAATAGCTTGCTTTATGGAATATTATAGCTTGTAGTCAGTTGTGACGTTGTATCAAGATAAACTTTACAACGAACTGGATTAGAAAACCTTTATCCAATTCTGACGTTGTATCAGGATAAACCTGACCCTTTATCCAATTCTGACGTTGTATCAGGATAAACCTGACCCTTTATCCAATTCTGATATTGTATCAGGATAAACCTGACAATGAAATAGAATAGAGCAGTGTTTCTCAATTTTTCGATATCAGGGATATCAGGGATATATTATCAGGGATCGGTTTGCTGCCTCCATAAACTGTCTTGGACAACAAAATGCAAATTCAACGAAAAACCATTGCAACTTATGTGTGAATATTCTGTCAGTTTTTGCTTATTTATGTGTTTTCGTGAAATCCCACGGACCGGTTGTTGAGAAACACTGGTTTAGAAGAAATTAAAGTCAAAACTGGTTTTGTATGAGAGTGAATCTGGCAACATGATACTGTTTTATCGTCCTGCGTTATAAGAACTCGGGATGAAATCGCTCGTGGACTTTCGAAATCACGTTCCACGGTCAAGGTTCATTCCACTATTTGAAAGTAGGTCACTAATTAAGGTCTGTTTAAAGTCCACGAGATTGAACAAGGCTGTTCAAACTCAAAGCCAAACTTCACCTTCTCATATCCCATAACTTGTCCTGTTTTTGATTGAGATCCTTACCGTCAGTGTTGTTAATGGTTTTGTTGTTTTAGCGCGAAGCTACTCAACGGGTCTCAAACAGATGAAAGAAGAAACTTAGATCTCTAATTTTAGTTTATTCTAGCTCTAATATGAAAGAAGAAACTTAGATCTTTAATTTTAGTTTATTCTAGCTCTAATATGAAAGAAAAACTTAGATCTTTAATTTTAGTTTATTCTAGCTCTAATATGAAAGAAGAAACTTAGTTCTTTAATTTTAGTTTATTCTAGCTCTAATATGAAAGAAAAACTTAGATCTTTAATTTTAGTTTATTCTAGCTCTAATATGAAAGAAGAAACTTAGATCTTTATATATAGTTTATTCTAGCTCTAATATGAAAGAAGAAACTTAGTTCTTTAATTTTAGTTTATTCTAGCTCTAATATGAAAGAAAAACTTAGATCTTTAATTTTAGTTTATTCTAGCTCTAATTTGGGAAGGGGGGGAACAAAATACGATAAAAGACAAATAAAATGTTTGTTAGTTGTTAAGCACAAAGGGACGCTATGGGCCATTCGTGTTGTGAACACCACGGGTATCGAAACCAGGATTTAACGCTGAGCCTCTGAAAGGCACGAAAATAACGAGATTCCAAATAAGCGTCTGTCATTCAATTAATTTATTTAGTTATTTATTAAATTATTCTATAACTTTATTATCTACGAACAAATATGTTTGGACAGAATGTAAACATAGCACGAGAAACCTGTTGTAAAAAAAACAACAATAAAAAACTTAACGTGTTATTATATAAATATATTGAATTAAAATAAAATAAAATTCCAGTGGGCTCTACCAGTACTTCATTGCCTTATTATCATTAAAACACATTTACTTACTTGGTGGATTTATATACATATATATATATTAAGGACAAATTATCAGAATAACACTTCTTTAACAAATAATCTTTTAGCTTATGATGTTCTTTACCAGCCATAGGTTTCACCACTAAATCAGATTACTATAAACATTTTTCATTTACAATGAGAATGTGGAAACTGTTATTTTGATCTTCTTTAAATTAACAGGCCCAGTTTTAGCTTGTGTGATCACGTGATGAGAAACGTGAAACTCGTGTTGTTAGACTTCTCTACAGGTTTTTGGTCACGTGGTATGTGTGATGTGAGGGAGGTAGAGATCAAACTTTTAGTTGACAAGAAATAGCAACCTTAAAACTCAAGTTGCTAGGTCACGCGTGTTATTTCGTGTTGGTCATGTGGTGTTTTATGAGGTTGAGTAGTTACGTTTAAAATTATTTTGGAGGTCATCACTTCGTAATAATCTATGTTGCCACGTCCGAACTTACTCTTTCTGACAATCATGCATCTCGACAATAGCCCTACAATGTAGTTTCCGTTGCAAAAGGTTCAGTTGTAAGACTGTTGTGTCCAAAGCTCACCACTCCTCCTTGCTGGCCTTCCCTCTTCCATCTAGTGTACGAGGATGACGACTTTCCGGTACTAGTTCCAACAGTCCGGTCTCATAGAAAGCCATTGACACTGTGTCTGGGTGACTTGAACTGTATGCCTTTGTAAATAATAGCATGAACAACCGATTCGTTCTCCTGTTGCTTGAGGTATGCAACGGTTGAACAGAGATGTAGTTGAAGCAATTACTGTACATTTGTCTGTGTCGCAGTTTCCGACAAAAAACTCATTTTGATTATGTGGTGCACTGTTGCCTGAGACACATGGACAGCTTTTACCACTGACCTGTTACAAGATGCTGCACTGTGCATACCGCAGTTGGGGCAAACTGTTGGAGTGCTCTTTCTTGATAGTCCTGGTGCCCCAAGTTGATCCATATGCCTTTGTTTTCGAACACCATTATATAATATACAAGAAATATCCTCGTCTTTGAAATTCTTTACTATCTGAATGTATGAAATATTTTGTGTTGGAAAGAGCTATTACATACCCCCCTTCCCCCAAATGATCAATTTTCGGTGACATCACACAACCTACGTAACACCAAGTGGTGTCAAAATGTAGTTCTGATACATCCCATCCCACCATGCTTTGATTGTCATGTGACTTGCTGGTTTGCATATTCAAAATCCTTTTTTATATAACATACTCAACCTTTTGTAGCGTGAGACTCAAATTATTAAACGGTTTTATACAAGCTGTGTGACAGGAAACTAGGATCCAGCTGCTGTCGTTTGGTACAAAGTTAGACAATAGGCTATTTAGGTTTTGTCCACCGCAAGTAATTGAACCTCGGATTTTGGCGCTACAAGCCCGCCGGGAGTCAACATGGACTTAAATTCAAGTTTTTAAGTTACGATAAAGCTTCTACAGATCGTCAATATGCATACATTTTGTCGTTTTTTTTTATTATACAACGTGGAATCTCCGGGAGAGAAAAACATGTTGAATCACCTCACACATCAATTGATTTGATCGCTTAAAAAATACGTATTTTGCATACGACTAATTCATTCTTATTTGGTACAACGTACGTCAAAAGTGGTGTAAAACAAAAAATACGTATCGCAGGTATCAAACCTCTATTTTGAATGTTATACGGTCTCGGGCTAACCACGTAGAAGAATAAACGGGAAGATTTATTTGCTATCTATTGTATCCACCGCGGGGAATCGAACCCCGAACTTTAGCGCTGTAAGTCTGTAAACTTAACTCTGTCCTACGGGGAAACAAACGGGAAGAGAAAATGGTATTTCGTACGTCCTGGACAAATACGGGCCTGTTTCGATACTACTATGTACGGTTTTTGTTTTTTTATATCCGTTTTGCTTTTATTAGATTCCGAAAGCATGAACTAGAAGGTCATCTTACAGTTCATATACACTTTTCCACTCTGCTCACGTGACTTGTTGTTATTGCTTGATTGGATGGTCGATTCGCGTCTCTCGTAAAACGTGGGAGGTTCGCATCACATACATATATGATATAAGCCTTGTGACTAGATAGCTTCAAAGGAATTTGAATTGTGGGTGACGAGAAGATGGAGCGTTAAGGCGAGTTCCAGATAAAGTGTTCAGAACTTTAAAAAAAAAGGTGAGTACAGTTTTAAATCCACTAAAATTTCAAACACGTGAAAAAAAAAAATACTATTCCACTATCAAACTTAGAACCTAAGAAGAAGTCTAGGATTAATTAGTTTTATAGAGCGCTACATATGTGCGTGTTTGTGTGTATGTACAGTGAGAGAGAGAGAGAGAGAAGAAAACAACAGAAAGTAGTAGTTAGAAAAATACTTTAATTTAATACAATTGTAGATATAGGAGATATGAATATACAAGGATTACCTGCGCTAGCCGTCATTGATTTTGAACTAACAGACGAGAGAGAAGACAGCCGGTCAACAGCATCCACCGTCACCAATACTCAAGCTACTCCAATCGAATAAGTGGGGTCTGGCCGTCTGGGCCTCGAGTACTCGGGTTCAGAATTTTTATTTTTTTATTTTTACATAATTTACCATATGATCAGTAGTTTACTGCGCAGTCAAAATCCGAATTCTTAGGCTTAGAAAAATCAAGTTTAAGCCAGTTTCATCAGAGATATAGCTTTTGACTGAATTATTAATTCGTTTCTTGTTTCTTGGCTATTGATGGTTGCTGGTCAGTCAGTCTGACTAATTCCTTGTAGAAAGACTTCTAATGTCTAAAATCAGAGGCGCCGCTAGGCACTGGCACACGGGGCCCGTGCCTTAATTCTATTTGACTGTTGGTGTTTTGAAACGCCGAAAATTCTCGCGCCTATGAGCCCGAGCTCTCGAATCTGTCTAAAAGTATGTTTGATGGTGTTATTTCAGAGGAAAGAAAAAATTTTGAATTTCTATTAATGATAGAGTTGCATCAATTACATCTAGAACTATTATAAATTTTATTGTGTTAAGTTGTTTTTTAACTTTGATAAGGGTTGCATAATTAAAAATTTTGACGCATGATCTTGATTTTTTTCTGTATAATCAGCACCTTTATTTATTTATTTATTTGCCCTAGACCATCATTCTAGCAACGAAACCAAGGCCCCGAAATGCAGAACTCGATTTTTTTAGCAGGGGACGCGAACCACGAACCCTCGGATTCATAGTGCAGCATGTTAAATTCTAGGCCATCATATAGCGCGCACAATATGTAAAGTAGACGTGATCGTTCAATGAAAATCGCTTTGCTTCATTTTCAAACGTGGAATAAACAAGACACTTCATACATAAACCCGGTATGATTAGGTGGTTAGGGGAGCTCGACTCGCAATGCTTGGGTTCGAATCCCCGTGCCACCAAACATGCTCGACCTTTCAGCCGTGGGGGCGTTATAAGCTGGCGGTCAATCCCACTATTCGTTGGTAAAAGAGTAACCCAAGAGATGGCGGTGGTTGGTGCCACCAAACATGCTCGCCCTTTCAGCCGTGGGGGCGTTATAAGCTGGCGGTCAATCCCACTATTCGTTGGTAAAAGAGTAACCCAAGAGATGGCGGTGGGTGGTGATGACTAGCTGCCTTCCCTCTAGTCTTTCACTGCTAAATTAGGGACGGCTAGCGCAGATAGCCCTCATGTAGCTTTGCGCGAAATTCACAATAAACAAACAAACCTTTCTTAGATCGACCCCCCCCTTTCCCCCAGTTAGATTTGTCCCGTAATAGGGATGTAATTCCCCACATTCCTCATTATCGATTTAATGTTCAATGGAAATTTTCGATACATCTCATCTCACGTGAAGATGTTTTCATGACAGGACTCGTAATCCCAGCATCTGCAGTTATTTTTTTTCAGACCCCCCCCCCCCCCAGACTCTGATTCAATATCATTGCTGTGGCCAGATGTCAAATTATCTGTAGTGTGGAGCAAACACCTTTTTTTTCACACATTCTTGGGTAGAAACCTTGTCAGTATCTGCATTTCCTAATCTAACGAAGTCCACTGAATCTTTATATTGGACACAAGCCTGATCATTGCTAATTGAATACTTTG